CCTGAATGAAAAGATGTGACATACAGCTATGATAAATATAGCACTATTAATAGCTCTATCAAGAGAGACAGACGGCATTCCAGCAGAGTCAAAGTCCTGCATAACATTCTGATTATACAGATTATTATATTTATATTGAATGCAGTGGTGGGTGAAAAAAATATCAAAGTATAATATTTTACATCACAATACTGTAATCAATATTCTCATATCAAGATCAATATATGAGTTGCATGCATATTTTTGTAAAAAAAAAAAAAGAAAAGCAGACTGACCAGCATTCAGAGCAAACCTGAATAATAAACATATTATTATTAATTCCACAATAAAATCAAGCTCCATAATTTATTCTCCACTAAAATCCAAACAAAAAAACATTTACCACTACATTACAGGTCAGATTGATTAATTTAAATTAAGATATTAATACTTTTATTCGCAAAGAACACATTCAATTAATCAAAAGTGACAGTAAAACCGTTTATAATGTTACAAAAGATTCCCGTTTAAAAAAAAAGCTGTTCTTTTGAACATTTTGTTAAAGAATCCTAATAAAAGATGTCTTTCAAAATACGCAGCATTGGTGACTTAAAAACATTTTAAAACACTCTTACAGACCCCAGACTTCTGAATGATGGTGTCTATACTAAATATAAAGAATATTGATATGATGTCTTACCGACATATTATTCTATACCCACAACTATTCAAATATCCTCAATACTGCCTGGTTTCATTGTGTTTACATGCACATGAATGTAAGCCAAAATTCAGTTTTTTGAATCTAAATAAGATGACTGACAATCTAAAATATACAGACAGTTTATTCACAATATCCACTTTTCAATTATATTTGCATGTGCAAATGAAATGTAAAGCATTTCTGGAGTGAGGAGAAAGGAAACGAACGTAAATCAGTATACAGATGGGTGAAAGCACCATAAGAGTCCCATGACCTACATTTGGCTTTTGAGCGCACCTTCAGTGTCATAATTACACAATTACAACAAAAGAACTCAAATAAATATCAAGAGCAAGCCTTTCCAGTATTTCCACAAGAGAACAGAAGGAAAAGAAGACGTTCACGAGGAATACGCTGATTACAATACAATAGCATATCAACTTTTGCAGAATAAATCTGACCATTTTTTTGACCAAATGATGTGCATGTAAACGTGGCCATTATGATTGATGATTACGATCTTTCAAACCACCAGCCCTTCTTTATTCTTCAGTTACTGCCACACGAATGAAGGACGCTGGCTCTGATGTGCAGCGTATCACGTGACTCACCGGCTGATAGCACTGCTGGTGTTGCTGGTGTTTCTGGGTTTGGGTGCAGGGGCTGGATTTGTGCTGCCGAAGGCCTTTGTCATGGCCGCTACACGTCCTCTTTCCAGAGCTTTAACTGAGCGCCTGCGATGGTCCTCGATACTCTGCTTGGCCAGAGATCGTCTGCGCACGTCTGCAGCTTTTGACTTCTGCACTGGAACCACATATGCAAAATCACACCGGTTATGCCAGTTATTTATGCATGACTAAAAAAAATACCAGCACAAACAGAACCACAGAGAACAAAACATCCCTTCTCATGTGTCAGCTCCTCTCCAAATAGTTGTTGTTTATTTGTGTAATTCTCAAATGTTCTCAGTGATGATTTTCAGTAGATTCTTATTATTGTAATGCAGAAAAAATGCAGGTCCAATTCTCACTATTAACTAACTATTAACTGAATTTTGCCCCAATAATAACTCCTAATGTGTTTTTTATTAATAGTTAGTAAGGTAGTTGTTATGTTGTTTGGGGTGGATTAAGGGATCTAGAATATGATCATGCAGAATAAAGCTGTGTCCCAAATGACGCACTATACACTTATACACTATGTACTCAACGATGTAGTGTATGAATTATATAATGTTATTCTGTCACTCCCCCTTCAGTACGTAATTAAAGCTGCGACAGCTGAGTGCATGAAGTGTCCAACATTCCACACTTCATTTTTTCGGTTATTTAAGTGCATCATCCAGGTATTTAAAGTGCACTTTTTCTTGTTGGAATTTTCAGTGTGAACGCACTACTCGCACTATTTATACTAGAAAACATCACAGAATGGTGCATGAGTACACGATTTGGGACGCACCTTATGACATTTATAAGCAGGCTACTAATAAACAGCTAATATGCTAGTAATATGCGTGATAGTTAAGAGTGAGAATTGGTCCTTAAAATAAAGTGTTACCCAATAATATATTCATATTTAAGGTTTAATGTATGCATAATTTCAGTTTCAAGTTTTATGCTGATTTAAATACTTTTTTTTAACTGTGATACAATAAAACATATTACTGTACTACTGTAATGAGAATAAACCTAGGCAATAATGAGAATTATTCTCAAAAGTATAACAGATTATAGACAATTAGAATAAAAAAAAAATTGTGTGCTATCAAATCAATTCATCGTGATTAACGCATCCAAATTATAAGTTTGCGTTTACATAATATATGTGTGTGTACATTTATATGTATATATGAATACACACACATACAACACAAACTTTTATTTCGGATGCAATTAATCGATTTGACAGTATTAATTTTTTCTTGTTACTGATTATAAAATGGTCTCATAATAGACTTCATTTTATAAAGTTGATCATTTTTTCCTTTTGGTTTTTGGGTAATATGTCACTTTCTGCCTTAACCTCCTGAGACCCAGCATCCTCATATGAGGACATTATATTGTAGTGAATTTCTCTGAGACGTTATATGTCAGTTTTAAGTCTGGATGTCCTGTACGGAGCACATTCTGGGCTTTTCAGAGATGCTAAATGTCTGGATGTTTCACCGTGACCACCCCCTCTCATTGGTCTTCAAAAATGTCTGATATTAATTTAGTGACACTCTTATGGAAATATGATAATATTTTGTAATTATCATTTAAATCTGACTAATTTTTAAACTGTGTGTCATCAACATCTCAGGAAAATGTTATGGGGTTTCAAATCAAAATATGACTTTCTGTTACGAAACCGGACATTGATTTCATACATGTCCTCATATGAGGACACCGGGACTAAAAGCATGTTTATTACGCATTTTGGGAGACACAACAAATTAATAGGGAAAGAAATTATTTCAATATTCCTATGAAATATTATTATGATATATGAAAATCTTGTCAATTATTACTCCCATTATAAATTTTTTTTTTTCATTACATGTTGCCCCAAAAACATTAATATGCAAACTAGATGTAGTGTATAGATACATTATATATAATGAGAAAACCTGTTTATGGCTATTTTACACACATTTTGCAGAAAGAAAAATTGTCTATCAAATAATTCTGTTATAACATAGTTGAGAATTATCTTTATACAAAAAATCATGAAAACTAAAAATGTATTGATGATTTAAAAGAAATCAATTGTTTTTGCCTATGCATGTTCATTCATGTCTTTTTATTTTTATTTTTTTAAATTGAGTCCCGATGTCCTCTTCCAAGGACGTAGCATAACTTATGAATGAAATCTCATTTTTAAAAATAGTTTAACCTTTTTTATAATGCTCTAAACAATGTAATGACATGAAAAAATACTATTTTTTTTCCTAAAATGTTTTAAAGGGGTCATATGATGCTATTTCAATTGTTTCTTTCTCTTTGGAGTGTTACAAGCTCTTGGTGCATAAAGAAGATCTGAAAAGTTGCAAAGACTAAAGTCTCAAATCCAAAGAGATATTCTTTATAAAAGTTAAGAGTCAGCCACACCTACCTAAAACGCCTCGTTCTAACACGCCCCCACATGTCTACATCACTATGTGGAGATATTAGGACAGCGCCACACCTACCTAAAACGCCTCGTTCTAACACGCCCCCACATGTCTACATCACTATGTGGAGATATTAGCATAATGTTCACGCAAAGAAAGAAGGCGTGGTTTCAGGATCAGCAGTCGTGTTGAAGCAGCATGTCAGGGAGACGCTGTGTGTTTCAGTGCGAAAGCAAAAGCACTTTATTTGGTCTTCCGGAAGTAGATGCAAGTAGGAATCATTGGTTAAGATTTATTTACAACAGAACAGCACAACCCAGATGCTCGAATTTGTGCAACGCATTTTATGGACGACCTATTTTTTAACCTAGAAGAGTACAAGGCTGGCTGTGCACAAAGGAAAAAAATTCAAACAAAAAAACAAAACAAAAAAAAGGGTTAATTCTGACTTTGCCATGACAATCTGGCGTCACAGGAGAGTGAACGGTCTGTCAGAAAGCGTGTGTGTGTGTGTGTGTGTGTGTGTGTGTGTGTGTGAGGGGATCTTAGCCCTGTACGTGAAAACACAAAAACATGCAGGCCACCTGCATAGGTTATTTAGAGTTATTGGAAGTCATTAATAATTCACAGAACTGAACAGGAAATAGTTGCTCTGAGGCAAGACTCTGAATGTCAACGAGAACACTCATACTAATATGACAGGTCAATTCCTTCACTAGACACGAGTGTTCATGTTCACACAAGGCAAAAAAGAAATTCCTTGTGCTTACTGTCGAGTACATACTCTTTAAAAAAAGGTATGAGCCAAGCAAGCTTTTCTGTGTTTCCATGATATGAAAATCAGGCAGCTATGAATTTGTGTGTTGGATTTAAGCCCATATTTCATACTGTGGCAGTTTAATGTTGTACATAATAAAGTTAACATAGTTAAGTGGCTTTGACTGGATAACAGCAGGCATTTATCTGATCAACTTTTATTCAACAGATGCCACTTCAGTTACTTTGAACATAGACGTTTTGCCCTTTAGTTCAGTGCGGTTATCTACAACACATATTGCATCATGGAAATACTGGCCATTTGGTTTGTTTGCACAGATATACACCCAAACAGGCACTGATTATTATAATCCTACATCAGAAATGCCTTTAAAAACAGAAACTAATATTAATTTTAACTTCTGTCCACTAGTCCTATTGAAAAGAACAAGTGCATGAGGAGGAAGTGGCATTAGCAGCACAGTATTAGCACACAAGCGCTGTGGTGACAACCTTCCCGTAAACTGGTGAAATATTTAACTAGTGTTGACCGAATGGATCACTTTGGAGTTTATGCCACGCAATACAAAGACAAAGAACAATTATAGTGCTATTGCCGAGTTTAATTGGGTTAACTCTCAAAAACTAAAACATGTTGGTTAACTGAAATAAAGTTAAAATAAAATATAATTATTAAATGAAAAACTTTAACTTAACACAAATGAGAAATGTTGCCTTGGCAACTAACTGAAATAAGTTTCAAGCTGAAGCGCTAAAATGGCTAACTGGTAATAAAAAATGAACTAAACTTAACTAAAACTAAATTAATAAATTAATTAAACCTACATAGTAATATGACAAAAAAATACAGTACTTGCATACTCAAAACAATTATAGGGGCGATGGAGTTTAATGAGCAACATTTCGATCAATCGACTTTCCTCAGGCTAAAATTTCTGTGATGATGCAAACTTGAGTGGTATGCGGGACTAATAAAAAATAAAAAAAAGTCAGTAAAAATTAAACTGAAAAGCTTAAATACAGCTGCGCCATTACAGCTTGGACCTGCTAAAAACATCTGTTTTGGTTCTGATTATCATGTTTATCGCACTGAAATCATGCGTTTTAAACCATATTAGTTTAATCTTCTGATATATGGTTTTCTGAGAGCACACAAACGAAGCACACGCACAGAAAGCGGCTGTCACAGCATGTGAGTACTAAACTAAGTTCTCATGCACACACAAGTTTACGTTAAAAACACACACGAGTTACAAAAACACTTGGTTATGTCTGTAGAGGTAAACAGCTGGGAAATAAATCGCTTGTTCATTTTAGATTTGTGTTGCTAGCAGCAATATACAGTAAATAAATCTGGGACTGGGACTCTAAACAGTGTTCTGTGCTCGTCTGTGCAGCCAAAGACAGAACAGTTAGCATGTTTTGCTCAAACTTTCACCATGGCATTAGAGCTGGTACACCGTTGTCGCTTGTGAAAACACAATAACGGCGCCTTGGGTGTAAACTTACAGATTAAGGGGCGGTAATATTATAATGAGATCCCTTTGCCACGTCACCAGGGGAGCGAAATCAGACGCGCTCGTTTTCTCAGAGGCTTGCAGAAAAAGGCTTACCAAAACTAAGTTACTGAGTTAATCTTTTTCACGTTTCCTTGGTTGGTAGATGCACCGGGAATCTGATTATAGCACTTAAAACCTGGAAAAGTCAGATTTTCATGATATGTCACCTTTAAAATACTATATAATTGTGATTGCATTACATGAAGCTGCGAGTATGACTGGTGCAGTTTTACCTGAGCTTCTCGGCCTCTCTCTGGGCCTGCAGGGCTGCTCTCTCGGCCATGACCCTGTCACAGATCTGATCGTAGGGTTTGTCTTCAGGATGTTCTCCCATCACCCAAACCCACACATCGTCATCCAGACCCTTCATCCACGACACAGTCTTTCCTGAAACTGCACAACATTCACAATGATGACATTGATTTTGTGGCACTGAATGCCTGTTAAATATCTAAGATTAGATTTATATAGCATAAAGCAATGTTGGGTTGACTTTGTCTCTCTGAGGCTATAAGAAGAGTGTCACCCAAAGTGTCACAAATGAGATTTTGTTAAAGCAACATGAATTGTTGGTCGCAACCCATTTTGCTTACACAACAAGACATAAGTTTGGGAAACAGGATATTTTTGGGAAAAAAAACTTGGGTAGGACTTGATTATATCGATTGGGAATTGATTGGATAAAAAAGACTGAATGAGACACTGAATGCCTATTGTTTAACATTATGCAATAATGCTAGAGGAGGAACAAGCTATTAAGTTTATTTGAAATAAAACATGCATCAACATATAATTAAGAAAGACCTTAAATGTGCATTTAAAAAAGTAAAAAATGTCAATTCTGATTTCATGTTGACTGTAATAGTGCTATTGTGTCTTCTGGACAAATGTACTACCTGTACAAGTTTTGTACAAGCTTGGTGAAATCCAGAAAGCCATACATTTGTGACAGATCCATTCACACCTTTTTTGACTTTAACACGTGCAGCTTCCTCCTCCTCCAGCTGCATCTCTGTCTCTCTCCATCTCCGGATCTGTTCTTCTCTCATCTTAAAGAACAGAATCTGTTTCTGTTCCTCATTCAGCTCGGTCAGCAGCTCCGGCTCGATGTACATGTCAGCCAATATCTGCTGCAGCATCTTCACGCTTCAGGAGCAGAGCTCAAACACCTTCAGCAGAAGGGAATATCCCTCTCTTTGTCTCTGGTGGTTTGAACCAAAACAGAACCATTTAACCATACAAAAGGAGGAACACAAAAATATCTTTTTGGTTTTGGGTCCCATTGACTTCCATAGTATGGACCAAAAAACAACAGCATAAACATTGAGACATTTCTCAACATATCTTCTATTATGTTCCACAGAAGAAAGTAGGCCTAAGTCATACAGAGTAAATGATGACCATTGTTGACATTTTGGGTGAACTATCCAGGTCCCTTTACTTGTATTACTAGAGAAATCAAAAAACAGAAAACAAATAAAAATGCTTAATAGGCTACCACAATAGCTATTAAAATATAAAAAGGCATTCATGTTAAAATAATAAATACAAATAAAATAAAACTTCTTTTTTTCATAGATATACAGTATGAGGGGGGAAAAATTGCATTAAAATGTAAACTACAGGGATGTGACACGCATTTACTGATTGTGCATATTTGAAGAAACTCACAGAAATCTGATGTCAGTACAGTTAATATACAAATGTAAACAAGGAACAGGAAGCAGAACAAAGAGCCGTCAATCAATCCCACATCAAATCCAGTAACC